AAAAAGTTTAAGTTGGCGTTGACATGTAAATCTATAACGGAGGTAACGATGCACGTGCAGCACGTGACCTTCCGACATTGAATTTTGCCTCATTTCCCTAAACTAGAAACCATGAAGGGTAAAAACTCATATATTGTAATATGAGGGGTAAAATGCCTCAAATTCAAAAAGTTGAAGGGCAAACGGGTACCTTTTGCCGCAATCCAGTCAACAGTTTCATTTTTCTTTATTTTCAGGAAACAAGATCGACTTTTTTCTCTGGCCAACAAGGGGGACTCTAGGGATTTGCCATATTAGACTAATCCAAGGTAAATTGTCTTCTTAAGCTTAAAATATTTAGGAGTTTGGAAATAAAGAGAATGGATAGATGCATGGGTTAGGGAATTGATTTTACTGTTGGTTTTGGAATTGATATTTAAATTGTGAATTTGAGTGGCATAGCATGAGGAATTTTCAAGGGGGAATCATTTATTTGGGTGATTAGTTTTCAAAAGTATGTGTTGGAGTGGTTGGATTTGAAGAAAAGTATATCAGTGGCATGGGTTATAAAATTATTTCAGTATGAGCCTAATAAGTATGAAATAAACTTTTACCTGGTAATTGAATTATGTTTATTTTGATGTTTATTTAGATTTCGAGTAGCTATATGGAAATTGCATTTTAAGAGATACTTATTGAGGTAAGTAGATATACCCTCCAGTGTTTTTAAAATAAATTGATGGATTTAAATGGGTTTTATCTAGTTTTGATTTATTTATCTATTTGTTTATTTATTTGATTATTTCTTGGAGAACGATCTTTACTAAAATGTTTTTAATGATAGAATGAGATGATTTGTGGGCCAAGTATAATATTTTTATTTAAGTTTGAGATGAAATTGTGGCCATGTGGAGGTGGTTAATTTAAGTTTGTTTTTCTCCAATATTATTGAAATAGTTATTTTTGGAACGATTTCTTTTGTTTGTCCTAGCTATATGAGTAACCCTTGTGAGGGTTGAGTTGTTGATATTATGATAGACCCGGAATTTATGGATTGTGAATTGTGAATTGTGGATTGATGATTGAGTATCATTGATCGTAAATTGTGAATTGTTACACAGCCATAAGGGACAAAAAAAATGAAATATTTTGGTTTCGAGGAAAGAATTATACTTTTATCGTATCATTTTTAATAAAAATTCAGTTTTAAATTTTTATGCCTAGTTGTGATGGATGAGTATACTACTTACGGAGTTCTTAAACTCACGTTTTTAAATTTCATCTCATTTCAGGTGAGAAATATGAGCATCGGGTTTTACATGGGGATTGAGAGATCGTTAGAATAAATTGGCAGAATTTATCAATAGCTCAATTGGAAGTTTATTTGGTTTTATAAAATAAGATGTTAAACATTTATATTTTGGTTAAGGGATTTGATATTGTTATTTGGAGACTATTAAGATTTGTTAATGAAATTGTTTATTTTATAGTTGGAAGGCCACATTAGAACTTTATGGAAGATTATATTGATATGCAAGTAGATGACCTTACACATTTACGGGGTTATTCTATAGATGTGTGGCATTTGTTATGTCCAAATCTATGGGTTGGGGCGTGACACCACAGCTGCAGATTTCAAGATTAATTTACAATAATGAGGAACAGTTGCACCCGCAACATAATCTTTTAGAAGGGTAATGATAAGGTTATGCAGACTATAATTTTCTATACAACTTCTATATGTTAATTAAATAAATAGACATATATAAAAAAATGAGTAAAAAAATTAATAATAAAATAATATATATAATATTATATATATATATGAAAAAACTGTATAAAGAATTATCTCTTCTAATTATTTTCCTTTTTTAGAACAAATTTTATAGCCCACACCAAAATTTTAAAGATGAATGCAAGATTCATATTGCCTGGCGGATTGTATAACTTGCTTGGTGGCACAGTTAATTAATGCAAACCAGGATGGATTGTTGAAAGTTACTAGTTAATACCCCGGGCCCTTGAAATAAAAAACTAAAAAATAAAAATTTAATATTAAAAGGAAATTAGTAGTAAAAGTATATATCATTACTTAAAAGAAAAATATAACAGTGAGTTATAAGGAATTTAATCCCAATTATGTCAATCCCCATGATGTTAGCAATATCTGCATATTTAATTGCTTGAAGACACAATCAAAAACAACAAAACACTTGCAATGTTGTGCCCTATTATAGCCATACCATCCATTGTCATATATGATTCACAAATAACTTGGATAACACAACCTCAATGTAAGGAATCTGCCATAGGAGGTTTCTGCAATCAAAATTCAACTTGAAGAAATGAGAATTGTCTTATGTTATATAACACATTATCAATTGTGTTTTGCAAGAATACATTTATAGAAAACAATAGAAACTAAATCAATACCTCAAAAGTATATTGTAATGAAGTTCACCCACAATGAGGCCAGCGAAGCCCAACAATAAACTGACAACAAAAGTTATGAAGCCTATAGCAAAGTTCAAATAAAAGTACAGTTAAGTAGATAGAATAGAATTAATAGCACATGAACTTTCTTTAAGATATCTCTTTGTGATACCCCAAACTTTTCTAGAATATTTAAGTGAGTTAGGGACTTGTTTGAGAAAGAAAGACTGTTTTGGGCTTAGTTGCCAAAATTTTGAAAGTTGAGGGACTTAAAAGAAAGGAAATTAGGATAAGGATCAGGGCTGATATTTCTCTCCTCAGCCACGTGTTTTGCTCATCCTCATCATCTTCTTCTTCCCGATTCTTCCTCCCGAAATCCCCCTCCAAGCCGCCGGCACCAGCTTTGAAAAATTGGTGAGAAAGCTTGGAATTTCTCCTTCTTTCTTGTCCAAGAACCTGACTTGGAACCCAGAAATCTTTCCCCTTTGCTGGAAATTCCAGATCTGCTTTGCTCTGCTCTGTTCGGTTGCTGCTCTTGCCGGTTGTGGGTGCAAAATTCTGGGCTTTTTCGGTAAGAAATAGCCATTAAATTCTGTTTTCCCTTGAATTAGCTTGGGTTCATGTTAAATCTGTTGTTCCTCCAGATTTTTGGGTAAACCCGTGAGCTTCCCCTACACTGGCCGCCGGCTTCTCCCCCTGCCAAGTCCGGTTCTGCAACTGGAAAATTTATGGTAGGTTGGCTTCTCTAATTCTCGAAAATTGGTTGATTAGTGGCTGCTTTGTGATGTCTGAATTTGGCTAGGAAATGGAGATGAAATTGATAGTAATTAGACCATGATTTAGCTTGATTCAAGTGGAATTTATATGATTGAGTGTTAATGGACTGCTATGTGATTTTGGAGAAAATCCCGTGGGATTAGCTAGTGTTTTGGCCAATTGGTGGGAGTGGAGTTACTGTTCACGTCGGGGTCACTGTTCACGGTTACTGTTCACACCCCGAGGGCCAACAATTAACGGGGATTTAAATGATTAGTTTGTGATATGAGAACGATTTTGGGGATATTTGATCATGTGGAGATTTATGGAAATAGCATTGTGATTAGGAATGATCCTAATGATGATTTCAGCTTGAATTTGTGATAGTCCGGTATTGATTCTCGGATGTCTTGATTAGGTTTCCGATCGTTCTGTCAGTTAGTGCGTGAATTGAGTGCTCGGTTTTATGCGAGTGAGGTAAGTAAATTATGGTAACGCCCTTTGATTTTTAAAAGCATGTTTTGATTTGTTTTTGAAATGGTGGCGAGACTAAACTCGTTTTATGCAAAAGTAAGTATGATTGATTTAAAGTGAAATTTCTATGCTTTTCGTTAAATTGAGCATGCCTACTTGAGATTTAATTGATTGTCCTGATGATTTGAAAGTGATTGATGAATTATGTTCTTCAGTTAAATTCAGCCTGTTTTGTCTCCGATATGGTCATGTTATCCTGTTGCCCGCTAGTGGGAGTGTTAAACGCTAGCACATGTCGACATGCATTTCTGTAGAACCGGTTCGTTTCTGTTATCCTGCTAGTGGGAGTTAAACACTAGCAATTCCTGTTGCCTGCTAGTGGGAGTGTTAAACACTGGCCGTGACCTATGGAGGAGACGTTTATTTCGTGCCTGTACTGTATCTGTTTTCGTGATTGTACTTGTTGGCATGCTTTAAGTTTGATAAGGGGCACTCCATATTTACTTACTGAGTTTATCTCATAATTTTTCCTTGTCCACCATTTCAGGAAGTGAAACCGAGGACGGGGAAACCACGGGAAGTGACGAGTTAGAAAGCTAGCCATTTCGAGTTTGATATAGATTGTAGATAGAAATCATGATCTTGTAAACTCGAGTGTATTGGAGATTTTATGATGTTAGAGAAAGTTTTAAAGATTTGATCTTCAGATTTTGGTGGTATCAGATTGTGATATGAAAGTTCCGAGCCTTGTGCACTTGTGGGACTTGTCTCACGAGTGTACGACGTCTGTCGCACCTTGAATTTGGGTTTTGGGGCGTGACACTCTTTATACTAATTTGAAATTTAAAGAAACATTTCTTGTCATTATCCAATCTGTTTTTCTATGAAAGTGCTGTTCTTATTAAGTATCTTTTAGATCATGTTCAAACTTCCTTCACCAATATAGAAATGCTCTTATCAATTCATAGTCACTAAAAAGTTAATGTATAAAGCAATAAAGTTGATAATGAATCCTAGTATCTTACATACATACACTTTATACTACTGGATGATTTTGCATCTATACTTGTAAACAAATTTCCAATTCTAGCCACATTTAACATATGTAATTATGTATTGCATTTTATATGTTGCATTTTGTTGTCTCCATGATACCCACAATGGACAATGAAATAAATAGAGGCAAGGTAAAATGGTAAATCCCATAGCCCTAGGTTTATGTGTATATAGGAAAATTCAGTTACAAACTATTAATTAGAAGATAAGGAAAATTCTAAATAATCAAAATGTTTTTTGGTCAGAAAAACAAAGTTACTAACCAAAACCACAAGCACAAGGAAATCAATGAGCAGTATCACCAGCAAGTATTATTTGATTATAGCGACATAAAAACTTTTCAGCAACTTCAACATGCATCACCATAGCTTTATATCAATAACAATTATACTTGAGAGCCCTCTACCAACCAGCTTGACTTATTAACTTCTTGCATGTCTACACAAATTTGCATTCTTTTAGAGCAATTGTTACAAAAAATGGAGAAAGAACCTTATTACATACCAAATCTTACAATTAAATTTTTTTAAAAGAAGTCGATCCCATAAATCAATTGTAAGGATAGTGTGAAAATCATTCAAGAACTGGTATAATTAACCAATTTATCTTGTGCATGAGATAATAATTATATAAGCAGAAAGCTAAAGCCCAAGCTTATGCATATCTCAAGGGTTAATCTTTGGAGATTTCTTCGTGTTAAACTAATGATGCTACATAAGATGACACTTTCATACCATGATAGCTTCACAACAGCTTCACCATTTCTTCATGTAACAAATCGATGAAGAAAGTAAAATAATTGTTGCAAAAAATGGAAAGCTGGAAGCATCAAAGCTAAAACCAATTAACCATTTTGCATGAAGTAATTTTGTAACATTAAAAATGCTAAAAGCTAAACAAACCCTTTTACCACCAACCATTGCCAGAAAAAACCCAAAATTACAAAGATGTTAAAGATGCATTTGAACATTTTGTTATAAACTAACCAAATTCAATAGGTAAAGCTCCTAATTTCCTGTATAAACTCAATCAAGACTAATGAACTGAATCATACTGAAGAATCCCTTTGTCTCTAACTTTGTTATAAACTGAATATTAGAATGCTACAACTAATATGCATTTAGAAGTATATTTAGATTCTAATAAATTAAAACAAAGGTAGTACGTAGATACAACTATTCATATGGGTATCATTTAGCTAAACCCAAGAACACTGAACTTATCTAAAATCTAAACTATCTTAACAAATGATGCTATGCCCTGAAAGCTATAGGTCAAACGTTTATCATGCTCCTCTAGCCCACAAACCCAATATAGGTCAATACTCTATGTGCTCATTTCTATGAAATAAAATCAGCAAACATTATAAGAAAGCTCAACTGAAACTAATCCCAAAAAAATAAAAATAAGAATAAATAAATACCCTGTATTTTAGGTCCTTGAGAGCATTGACCACTTTGGCACTACCAGCTAACTTGACATAAATTTCATTGGATTTAGCATCATCCCATAGATTATAGGCACAGATCATTTCCTCTTATTTGATTCGTGTAGCTTCTTCAAATTCCTGTAGTTGGCGCTAACATCTCTGCACAAGGAATTACATCTTCAATGAAAACAAACCTAAACCATTTGAATTAACATATCCAATGTCAAGTGAGAAAGGATGATAAACATGTAAGAGATTTGAAAAGAAAAACAACAGTTACAAAAGAATTTGTTAATACTCATGGCTTATTCTCAAGAACAATTGTTTTGAAAACATATTATCTTAAAATAAATCATTAACTCCTCAGCTTTGATTTGAGAACTCTGATCCTCCAAGCAAGTTTGAAGTCTCCACAATGGGAACTGGGAAATACATTACATTAAAAACACCAAATGTTCCTCGAGAATTAGAGAATTGCAATGCAGCAAATTTCAATTTCTTTAAAACATAACATCCAAGGTGCTACAAGACTAACTGCCAACATTTAGACATCTCTCTAGTTTGCACTCTCATTTCTTCAGTAAAGATAATTCTTTGTGACATTAACTCAAATAGTTGATGCTCATTAGCATCTGAAATCCCAAATCAATTCAAAACTCAGACACCCATTTTGAACAATAGTACCAGGAAAGCATGATAAACCCAAGTACATGAAAATGGAGAGAAAAAAAAAAACGGCAAAGAAGACAAACCAAGTTGGTTAGACACCCTGTTCTTGTCATCAGTAGAATGAGAAGCTCGAACTGTCAAATGTAAAGGTTTAATCTTTTATTGAAGTAACCTACAGAATAATTTTTTGAGTTACAATCTAAAGATAAAACCATAAACACAAAGGAAGTCTAATATGTGAAATTAGAGGCAAGAATTCTAAAACAAAGAATGGTACCTTTAGACATATCATTACTCAATACAATGTTGATTTCTTCGACACATTCATCATCTTCATCTATAAATATACATAGTTAATAAGATTGGAATGTTCTGTAAATAAAAAAAATAAAAGAATAATAAAAATAGATAAGATTCCAAGCATGTGGGATCTTTATCTTTTCCTAAGACCAAATGCCAAAAAGGAGATTGATTGTTGTAATTTCCCCACCATCACCTGCAATTTTGAGATTAAATTTCAATAATTCAAAATTCTTTGTAATTATGAATGCATAAAGAATCACAAAGTTGGTAATAAAGCAACAAAATTTTACAAAAGACATCCTAGATTTTAGTTTCTGATCAATAGCCCAATCAAGGGCCCTTTGAGCATCTTCAATCAAAGGAGGATACATAGGACTAAAAAAAGACATGCCACATTCAGCACCTAGAAATCAAGGAGATGGTCAAAAATATATCGCAACTTGCTGGGATAATAAACCCAGACTTACAGATTCAGCACATGCTTTCATGAAAATGATGATCAACTGAATGAAGCTTGATCCAAAGACTTTCCTATTTACATGGGATTTCATCTATTCCCTTCTCAGTATTTGAGAAAACAAATATGTACCAATTCCTTTACAGCAGATCCATTTCCAAAATTCTAAAGTATCCTATTCACACCAAGTTGGAAACACAAAATAATTATATCTGGCCTCACCTGCCAAACTAATCCCTCAAGATAGCCAATGGGTATGGGAAATCCTCATTCTGATCCAAGGTGCATGATTGCACACATGTGAAGTTTGTTGAAGTCCCGTGCTTCTTCAACATCGCTGCAATTAGAGAATAGCCATCACAATATGATGGATTGTAAAACCCAGTAGTCAGCTCAATAGCATGGCTTGCTGTTTTATACCACCAATGAATACCTGATATTTAATTTCAATCAAAATATAGTAAATCTTTTTTATGATAAAGGTGATGAAGAATTTGTTACATTTTATTGATTTCATGTATATATAATCAATTTTAGTTCCGAATAGCAGAAATCATTTCAAATGAAACTCACTTTGCAGCAATACTAGTTCCTTTAAAAGGTAAGTTTGCTAGAACAAGCACACCAATACTTGAGAATACCAATTAAGAAAGAATTTGTTATATCTTATTGATTTCATATATATAAAATTAAGTTTAGTTCCAAATAGCTTTAGTTATGAGCATCATATATTGAAAACTATGACTTTGAATAGTTTTAGAAAGATGTCACTATGCCTTTGGATGCTCTCCTCATCCTCGAAAAAGCCCAGGAGGCTCAACTTGGAAATTTCCATCCTACAATAGAAACAATCATCAAAATCAGCATACACTTAGAAGGATTAGAAACCAGATTAAGAAACCAAAAGCAAGCCCTTTAAGTAATAACATAGGCATTGGCAAGCATATTACCTAAGCAATGTAACAATTACAAATGTGGCGATGTAAAGAGAACTATGAAGACAACATGACTGTATATTTCTGCATTTAATGAGTACATAAATATCTATGTTCTATTTTTCTTCTTTATATAATAGATAAACCTATAGACGTACAAATAAGAATCTCAAGACATAAGAGTTTAACAATGAAATTTAATAATTCACAACCCTACTTGAGGAACATATGTGGTGATATTACAGGCATAATTTAAAAGAATGACTCTTGTAGCACCTTCCATATACTAATAATTCCAAGGCTGCTAATAAAGAAATAAAATAATTCCAATGCTCAATACATGACATGGTACTGCCAAAATCCAAAAAAAGTGATAGATAAAATAAATGTAAAAGCCACGAGAGATTAAATTTATAAAGAATTAAAAAAAAAAGTGTCAAAAGCCATAAAATGATTACTAAAGCAATGGTTTGACCTTCTCTTCTACACCATCTACAGTAGCCCACATATCCTTGTGCTTCAACTTCTCTTTTTTCAATGCCTTCTTCTCCTACACAAACAGAATTTATAGATCAAACGATGGCACATTTGAATCAAAAACATGAATAAAAGAACGAAAGTGTTCCTACCAACTGAATATCTGACTTTCTTTCTAGGTCAATTCATGAAATAGGTGGTGGTATGTATAATGGAAAAGTCTGTACAGTTTCAAAATATAATAACAATGAAAACTGGCAATAAGAATGTTGTCACATTACTGAAAGCTAATGCTGGAAGCACGTGCATTGTTTTGAAACCTAGCCCGGCCTAGTCAGTTCAACCAGTTGAACCAGACTTGGTTCTAAAAATTGGTCGAGTTATGATAATAACCCGTTCGAAATCAAACCTAGTCAAAATCCACCTAGACCAGATCAAGCCCACTCAGACCAGGTCAACTCCGCCCAAACCCGATCAACCTAGTTGACCAACCGATTTAACCTCTTTTTTTTTTACATTTTCACCTTTTTTTCATTTTTC